GTTCATGCTCATTTTGTTGGAAAGTTCGTATGCACAACTAACAACTCTGCTTTATGGCCCTTCCTTCCCAGACATTTTACGTTCAGCTGCTGAATTTGTGTTGCGCTGATCCTAAAAACTCTGAGCCTTCGCTGTGCTTTTGCGCTTCGCTTCTTATGTACCAAGCTCACAACATGTGTGTAAGCAAGCATATATGTGCCATGCTTGATGACTGAATAACGTGTAAATGAATGTGAATGTGAATCTACAAATATTTATGGCATTCTAAACGACGTTAGTGCTACTTTTCGAGGCATGAAACTAATGGAGCACCAATTGCTTTCAGATTCGCTTTCTAACAACATTTAAACCATTCTTGTGCAAAAACTAGGCATGTACAGGATATGTTTCCAACATGCTAATAAATAACTGGAACAGCTAGATAGGAAGAGATAAAAAATCATCAATAACGATTTCCCATTTAAAGAATTAATCAAAACCAAACTGTTGTCATCGTATTTCCGCAGAAAAGCAACTGCATTTTCGAGCCTGTTTGCTTTTCTGAGTGCCGATACCTTGAGAAGCAAAACCTTTCCATTCCCAGGTTCGTACGATAGAACCTAAAAAAAAAGGATAGCAGTGATCTTTGTATCTTTAAAGTGGATCATAAAAACAGATAACCGCCATCACTCTTCGAGAAAAACGCCAAGAAATTTGGTTCTAATATTTTTAAATGCTGACAGTTTATGAGACAAAAATCGAAAAATATTAAAAACTCACCTTATCACAATAATCAACGGCACGCAAAAAATCAGATTCTGTACGATTCTGGCCATTCACAATGCAAGCAGCCAAACTATGATAACACTGCACCGTGAGACCAACGGCTTCAGCTTTCAGTACTTCAGCTCTCTTTATTGAACTATCTTCTCCACGCTGTTCATCAGTTTGGCCGGCGGCATCCTAAATTTTTAAAGTCAATAAAGCAAATATTCAGAAAAGAATAATGGTGGGTGCACCATGATCTGTCATCCCCTCCTTCTCACTGACTTTTTATTATAACATTCGCTCCATCAAACTTTTCTAACTTCAAAAAATGAAATGTTAGAAACTCACTTCAACTCTGCCCGTTGAGCTGTCTCCTTCACCTTGTTCACCAGCTTGGCCAGCGGCATCCTAAATTACCTGATTGTGGTAGGCGCCAAAACATTCACGTGGTCGTATATGAAACCTAGCGCACATGGACGCTGAATTCCAGTTTGTACGGAGCCTCTCCTACTCCCCTCCCCCACTCTCTCCTCTCCTAAAGTTTCAGCTTCATAGCTTCTCTGGCTCCCGAGTTGAAACACCGAAAAGATGTACTCGGGACCCGTACAAAATGCAGTAGTGTAATAAGTTACCTTCGTATTCACTCCTAGAATCACGACTTCATAACAAAGACTAGATAAAATGTACAA